AAGCATTGGCCTAGATCATGCCACGTCATCAACTTCGCAGATTCACCTCCCGACTTCTAAAATTCGTAACTTTCGCGTACGACTTGCTAAGTGCAAGAGAAACAAAGGATCGGGTAGCCCCCAAATCAAACAACACCTGGACTGGAATATCGTTCACATGGAACGATCCTAAACGTTTATACACAGAGCACATATCAATATCATAAATCTCATATAAATAGGTCAGAGGGAAAGAATCATACCCGTCACCACATCGGGTGCAGCGCGTGCCTCCTCGGCTGTCAGCTGAAATGCCCGACTCCTCACCACTGGAGCCTCTGCCTTGCCCTACCGGACATCTGTAATCCGCAGGGTCGCTGGATCTGGCGCCTGTACTGGCGCTGCTGCTGTCAACTGGGGGCAGTTGGCCCTCTTGTTGCCCCTCTGGTTGCAGTGGAAACACAACAACTCAGATGTCTGAATAACCGGAGCAGGGGCAGTACAATCCCTGCTGAAATGTCCCGTCTTGCCGCACCTGTAGCAGCCTGTCGGTCCTAATCTACACGCTCCCTCGTGCGACCTGCCGCACTTCCTACAGCGGCCCGGTCCTGTATGGCCTTTCGGCCTACCATCTGATCCCTTGGGCTTCTTTCCCGAAGCCCCTATCGTCTGTCCCTCCTCTGCCTTCCTCTACCGGACGTGCTCCAGATCTATCTCCCTCTCCCTCGCCCTAGCAATCATAGAATCCAGGGTAGGGCAAGCTGAAAAACTGACATGCTCCCGAATGTCGGCTCGCAGCATGTCATGGTAGCGGGTCCTCCTCATATCCTCATCACCTGCATACTGGGGCACCAGTAACGCCCTCTCCCGGAACTTGGCGGTGATCTCCGCCACAGTCTCCGTCGTCTGTCTCATATCCAAGAACTCCCGTGCCAACTGCTAGAGCTCCACCGCAGGCGCGAACTCCGCCCTGAATCGTGTCACAAAGTTCGGCCATGTCATAGCCTCAATGGCCGCGATTCCCAAAGAGTCACAAACCGACTCCCACCAATATCTAGCCCTGTCACGTAGACACCCTACTGCAAATCGTACCTTCGACCCCTCGGGGCAGAAGCTGATCAGCTGTGTAGACTCAAGGTCTGCAATCCATCGTCTGGCAGCAATGGGGTCCTTCGCCCCATGGAAATCTGATGCACCACTGCCCCTGAAGTCCTTAAAGGACAGTGTGTGTGGTCCTGACTGGCTAGCCGCCATATCACTCCTGAACGCCCTGAGACGATCCTCCATCAACTCTACAATACCCTCCTTGATCGACCCGAAAATGATGGGAGTCGACTCAAGGATGCCCCTGGTAATCTCTGACGCAATGAACTCGCGTAGACCCTCATCAACTGGTTCGGACCCTGAACCCGAACCCGATCCCGATCCTGAGCCTCCCGCTCCCTGTCGTGTGGTCACCATACTGAAAAACATAGCATAACCACCATCAAACGATATTCCACTAACGAGGTTCACATACATACCACTAGTCCCCGGTCTCGCCTCGGCCCTTTTTGAATCGAGTATGGATCCTCCGCTTTCAGTAGTACGGGCCCATACTACCCTCCACGTCTATCCGTACTTTCCTCAAGAATTGCCTTAACTAAACCAAGTCCTTTCTACTAATACTGCGGTTCTCGTGCTACTCTCGCCCTAGGCTTACCCTAAGTAATCGCCATCCCACTCTCTGCCATCAGCTGCACAAGAAGTCCCTGCTTTCTTTCCCTAACTAGCTTGCGAATACTATTACATATTACTCAGACTAGATAATTATTCGAATGAGAGGTCCTACCCTACAACGGTTAGACTCAAACAAGAGCTGCGAAATAGGGCTAGACCCAACCTTCTGAAATTATTTAATCCTTGCAATATGTAACTTAGCATATTCGTTCACTAGTTAGTGAAAGACGACTAGAACTCCTAATAGCACAAAGCAAGCAGCATTCGGGCATTGAGTACACATAATCAAGTATATACTACTCTGGCTATCATACTGACTGATCTGTACTAGCATGCAATTCTCAAAAAGCCGAAACACATAAAGCAGGCACATAAGGCATCATTCCTAGATCCTTAGTCCTATTCTAGCATGCTGTTCTACTGAAACTAAACTGATAATCATAACGTAAACTTGTATGGGCACTTTGGGGAAAACTTACTTGAGCTCGGCCGGTCGCGCACATCACACACCTTTTTCTTTTTAGAAACCCCTTTTACTTAGTCTTTAGAAAATCATTTCTTTATAAAAATCTTTTAATCCCTCGATTTGAGTCCAGACACCCCCGAAGGTGTGTCTGAATCCCTCAAACCAGGGCTCTGATACCAACTTGTAACATCCCAAAAATACCAGCTAAAAATTTCATTTTTAAATTAGGTTAATTCATAAAAACATCGTTACAAAACATTCATAATATTAATTTATGTCTGAGAACCGGTAACATCATAGTAAAATATTCAGAGTACATCCCAGAAAATCCATAGTGCGGAAAACATGAGAGTGTGTGTGATATGCCGCTACCGCGCCAGCTCCTTTTCCCTAGCTGAAGAGATACCTGAAAACAAAACTATAAAACGTAAGCACAAAGCTTAGTGAGTTCCCCCATAATGCCACATACCATACAATCATATAATGAGTAACTAAGGGATACGGGCCTCGCCCACACCCATAGAGATACGGGCCTCGCCCACACTTTACTTTCTGAGAGGTACGGGCCTCGCCCACACTCTGCTATCCATGGAGATACGGGCCTCGCCCACACTCCGCTACTAAACCATAACATACAAGTATCACACAGACAACAAGTATAAGCAATTCTATCATACTGGCATATAACACAATCAAACTCAGCTATGAGATACGGGCTCCGCCCACACTCCGATACTAACATATCGTCTATACGGGCCGGCCTTGGTGCCTTAGACCCGTCCCTACTGGAAGGAAACTCACCTCGAGAGTAGCTGCCGAAAACCTGCTCAGACTACGCCTGGCTGCCGCACCGGTAATCCCTCCGGCTATAAATCCGTAAACATGGATTAGGTACTCATAAATACCCCTAAGGTCAAATGACCGGTCAAAGTCAACTCCTTGGTCAAAGTCAACCTTCTGATTGACTGGACTCGCCGAGTCCATATGACGACTCGCCGAGTCCTTCTATGTCTAGCCCGACTCTGACTCATCGGGTCCCTGTTCCCACTCACTGAGTCAGCCTGACTCGCTAGACGGGGACAACTAACAAACCCGCGACTGGACTCGCCGAGTCCAAGGGGGAAACTCGCCGAGTCCGACGAACAGATCTCACAATTCGCTCCAATCTTCCATCAGAACATCAACCTTGGAGATTTGAAGATTCTGGGACTATAGCTACACGTTAAATTGCTGATTCCATGTGCGACTACGAAGGGTTGGACCTCCTACACTTAAACCCTTCTTATCATAGTGACAGTTCATATGACTCGCCGAGTTTGAAGAAAAACTCGCCGAGTTCAAGGCTATATTCAAGGGACTCGCCGAGTTTGAGGAACGACTCGCCGAGTACCAGACAATCTTCATAGGACTCGCCGAGTTGTTTATCCAACTCGCCGAGTCTAAGGCCATCTTCATGGAACTCGCCGAGTGCACTTTGGCACTCGCCGAGTACCCTTCGACTCTTCACCCATTCTGGCCAAAACTAAGGCATGCAATGGTTCCAACCCATAAATCTAAGCTCCTAGGGTATAAACACACGGAGTTTGGGAGGTTTAAGGTCTTGAAATCCACATATAAGGGACAAAAAGGGAATCTATTATACTAAAGATTAAGAAGGAGCTTTCTTACCTGGTTAGGAGCTTCTCCCAGGGTAGATTTCGGATCTACCACACTTCCTTGCACCCTCCAACTTCCTCCTTCTTCTCTAAAGCTTCAAGCTTCCTTCACCAAGCCAAAATCACTCGCAAGGATCAAAATGGGCTAGGGTTTCGCTCTACAGTTCTTTTGGAAGAGAATGGGACGAAATGGGTGTTTTAGAATGGGTAACATGGGTGTGTCTGAAAATAGAGCTTCATCCAGACAGGTGGACTCGCCGAGTCCATGCATCGACTCGCCGAGTTCACCGCTCAAACCCCGTGTCCACCCTGCTGCTACTCGGCGAGTCGGGACGCAGACTCGCCGAGTTCGTGGCAAAATTAAAATAGAAACTTAAATAAAATCATACCATGAACCCGGTGTTACAGGTGAGGGTAGGGGAGATGGAGGTGGTTGGCGGCGAATGGTGGTAGGGAATGACGATAGTGGCAGGAGGAGATATAAATGGGTGGGGTGTGGGGTGATAATTTCTTTTTCTTTTTCTTTTAATTAAAATAATAATAAATTAAATAAAATAAGTTAAAAAGGAAATATTTAAAGGCATATTGGTGAGTATGGAGCAAAATCACATAGAAATATCAACTACAGGGACCAAAACTATACAAAGTATCCGAAATTGGACCACTGCTGCAAAGCAAAACTTTTTTGGACCAAAACCATAGAATTTTTCCAACCACAGGGACCATTTTTGCAATTTTGTCTTAATTAAAATATTACACAAAACTTGTATTTTTTTAATTGTAACATGGAAATTCTTTTAGGGCGTCATCATTACGGTTATTTCTTAGAATAAATGGTAGGAAAGTGATGGTAATGTAATGTTGAGGTAGACTTAACTTTTAGGTATATATGGTTGCTAGAAATATGGCATACCACATAGGCTTATACAACACATATTGTCAACAAATGTAATCTATCCTTACAATCCTTAATAAATAACAGATGCATGATGTTAACGTTACATCAACACATATAGTTTAGAATTTTTACTTAAAAAGTAAAATAATAGTTAGTTACGCAGCATTTAATAACAGATGCATTAATTGTAATTAGGGGCATTGAGTTCTCTTGTCAACTACGTACAAACGTACGCTAATTTCCAAAACATAGTAAACGAGTTGAACAAAATTAGAGATATGATTCTGTCATATAAGCTAAAACAAAGTAGAAATCTAGCGAAAGTAGTCAAATATTATATTCCCACTGGTTTATGTCTTCAATCAAAGCCGGGAAGCTTCAGTGTCATCACCATTGTTTGATTACTCTCTCCTTCACTTCCTATAAATATCCATCAATTCTTCTCGCTTTCCATCAATTAATCAAATCCCACTTCCACAACCACACACCCTTTGATTTCCATTACTTTAAGAAGCTCCTGATCCTCCGCCATGGCTGACGTTGACCGGAGGAAAAGAATCAAAATTGAAGATAAGAAGGTAAAGGGGACATTGGTTTTGATGAACAATCACTCCATTTCCACCATCAAAGACGAGGTTCTTTTGGGCCGGAAAGTCTCTCTGCAACTCATCAGTGCTGCCCACTGTGAATCTACTGGTAAGCCTCTTTGATCGATTGGATTTCCTCTGATTTTGTCATTGGATGCTTCGTTGGGTTGTAACGTACAACCCAATAAAGCAATAATAGTCACCCATCCACACTATCTGGACTTGTGGTTCATGACCATGTGGCATTCCAAGTGTTCGATTATATTCTTCAGTGAGTTGTACAGTACAACTCAGTAAATCTGCCAAAACCACCGTTGACCGGGACGATGTCGGTGGGCCGGTGGATGCATCCATAATTCAACTCGAAGCTTTATTGGATTGCACAGATTGTACGGATTGTACTGTACAAATCCACCAAAGCTCTCAAGATCACCATTACTACGGCGATCGAAGTATCTATTAATTCCTTGCATCACCAGTCTAATTATCTGTTTAAAATCATGCAATTTCATAGCTTAATTGACGAATTTTTTTGCTAAATTTCAGCCAGGGGTATCAGAGGGAAGCTAGGAAAAGAGACAAACTTGAAGAACTGGGTGAGCACAGTGATCACTCGTTCAACAAAAGGCGATTCAACCTTCGATTTAGACTTCGATTGGGAAGAAGAAATTGGGGTTCCAGGGGCTTTCTTGATCACCAACAGACACAACTCAGAATTCTACCTTAAAACTTTGACATTAGAAGATGTTCCAGATTGTGGCCGTGTTCATTTCATCTGCAATTCTTGGGTCTACCCAGAAGAACATTACAACAAGCAATATCGCATTTTCTTCTCTAATCAGGTAAAGAATTGTCTTTTAGTATTATAAAATGATTTTGGTAGAGTAGTAGAGTACCCTCATCATTGACTTTCTCATCTTTTTGCTACCCTCATCTTTAATTCGGCTATTTTTTTCATAGAGTTAATCAGATCTAGCAGCAGACTTTCATTGACTTTTTATTTTAGACTTTTAATATCCTACTTTTGTTTCTTCCTATTACAATATTGTACGATGAAAAATCCTCCCAGTTATATCGAAGTCATCCAAATACAAGATCCATTTTGTTCCACAATCAATTTTGAAAAATAATATCCACACCAAGATTTTGTTGGAGTTTAATATACATAGTGTAGAAGGAATCTTTTTCATTTTAATAAAATAAGAGAGAACGGAATTAGATTCCAACGCATCTTTTTTTCCCAACCAAACGTCTCATCATCATAGGAAAGTTTGATTCCACAATACAAAAGTGGCCTAAAAGTACAATACTATGATTTGACATTTTTCAAAGTAGAATTCTAAAACATGATTATTTTGGTTACAGACATATCTTCCATGGAAGACACCAGAGGGTTTACGCCATTATAGAGAGGAAGAGTTGGAGGAGTTAAGAGGAAATGGGACAGGAAAGCGTGAAGAGTGGGAGAGAGTGTATGACTATGATGTCTATAATGACTTAAGTGAACCAGACAAAGGTTCAGACCATGTTCGCCCTACTTTTGGTGGGACCCCTGACTACCCTTATCCTCGTAGGTGTAGAACAGGCCGACCTCCATCAAAAACAGGTTGCAAATTATTACTTAATCGGCTTAATTGGTTAAGCACTTAATCTAGGGTTGTTTCTTTTTGGCTTAATACATACAGTCACAGACACTATAATTGTCATTTTCTGAAATATTTTTTAAACAACAGATCCAGAAACAGAAAGCAGGGTTCCGATTTTGCAGAGTTTAACGATTTATGTCCCGAGGGATGAAAGGTTTAGTGACTTGAAGATGGGAGATGTTTATGCTTATGGAATAAAACTCGTATCTCAAGGGTTACTACCTGGTTTTGAGGCTGTTTTGGACAAGATTTCAGATGAAATAGTTGGGACACTTGAAAATATTCTAAAACACAAATTTGAAACTATACCAAACAACAAATTTAATGAGTTTTCATCATTTGAAGACGTACTTAAGCTTTATAAAGGCGGACTTCCAGTACCAAAATCTGAGTTTCTAGAAGCATCAGGGAGAAAATTCCATTTGAGTTTTTCAGAGAATTGTTTCGTTCTGATGGAGAACACGTGTCAAAATTCCCTGTCCCACAAATAATCCAAGGTACTTTCTCTAATACAATGGTGAGGGCGTTTACGTCTTTTTTTCCCCTATTGACATTATTGTTTTGGTTTAATGATTCCAACAGGGGATGAATCTGCATGGAGGACAGATGAAGAATTTGGAAGAGAAATGTTGGCAGGGATAAACCCTGTTGTGATCAGACGCCTCCAAGTAAATTTCATCTTCTTTATTCAACAAATGACAAGGATGAGGGCATTTATGTCTTTTTGTACAATGCCTTAATAAGAAAAAAGATGAAAGTAGAATATTTTAATAGAAAAAATAAGTGAAAGTAGGATGCTATAATACACAAATAAATAAAAGTACATTGCTATTTTTTTTAATTGACCACTTACAATTTCGTTACTTGCAGGAGTTCCCTCCATGTAGCAAATTAGACCCTAGAAAATTCGGGAACCAAAACAGTACAATGACTGAAGACCACATAAAACATCAGTTAGATGGATTGAGTGTCTTGGAGGTAACAAATTAACAATTATAGATCTGATATTTGAAGTTTTATGTTCCGAATATATAAAATTTATGCAATTTATTGTTGGTTTTAGGGAATCAATTGCAACAAGCTGTTTATATTAGACCACCATGATCCATTGATGCCATATCTGAGGGGTATAAATGAAACTTCCACCAAGACATACGCCACACGGACTATCTTGTTCTTGCAAAAAGACGGGACTTTGAAGCCAGTAGCAATCGAATTGAGTTTGCCACATCCAGATGGTGATGAATTTGGAGTTATTAGTACAGTTAACACACCCGCAAAAGAAGGGGCAAAAGGGACAATTTGGTTGTTGGCAAAAGCATATGCTAATGTAAACGACTCGGGATACCATCAACTTGTTTGTCATTGGTAAAGATTCTTTAAATCCTTATTCGCTACTGACATGACATGACTAAACAGGTTGTACTGTGTTTTTCATGTACTAAGACTGACATCAATGGAACAAAAATTACAACTTTTTGTCACATTGATATCAGTGTCGGTCAGTCCAATGCATGCCAAAATGCAGTATAAAACCGTTAGTAAACCCTAAACCCTAAGAGATGAATAAAATTAGAAGATATATGGAATGTGTTGTAAATTTGAGTTACAATGCAGGTTGCATACTCATGCTTCAATGGAGCCATTTATAATTGCAACAAATAGGCAGCTAAGTGTACTTCATCCAATTCATAAACTATTGCATCCTCATTTCCGTGACACGATGAATATTAATGCCCTTGCACGCCAAACACTCATAAATGCTGGTGGACTTCTTGAAAAAACGGTTTTTCCTGACAAATATGCCATGGACTTGTCGTGTAATATGTACAAAGAGTGGGCTTTCACAGAACAAGCACTTCCTGCTGATTTAATCAAGAGGTATACCCAAAAAAAAAACCTTGCACTTTCTAGCTTTTGATCTTTAGTCTATGATAACATGAAAAAGATATTTGTTGATTTGTTTCAATATTTAATAACAAAAAAATCAATGAAAGTACATTACTATTTTTTTTAGTTTTAACCTATTTTTGTTATTTTAGAGGATTAGCCGTAGAGGACCCATCCTCCCGCCATGGGGTCCGCCTCATTATCCAAGACTACCCGTTTGCAGTCGATGGGCTCGAGGTATGGTCCGCAATAAAATCATGGGTAACAAACTACATCAACATCTACTACAAAAACAATGAAATACAACACGACGCCGAGCTTCAACAATGGTGGACCGAGGTCCGAACCAAGGGCCACGGGGACAAAAAACATGAAACGTGGTGGCCCACAATGCAAACCCGCGATGACCTCATCCAATCATGCACCATCATCATATGGACTGCTTCCGCCTTACACGCAGCGGTCAACTTCGGCCAGTACCCTTACGGAGGGTACCTCCCGAACCGACCCGCTACGAGTCGCCGATTCTTACCTGAACCGGCGACTGCTGACTATGACGAGCTCAAGACTGACCCCGAGAAGGCGTTTTTGAAAACCGTGACACCACAGCTTCAAAGTGTGCTTGGGATTTCATTGATTGAGATTTTGTCAAGGCATTCGGCGGATGAGGTGTTTTTAGGGCAACGGGATACACCCGAGTGGACAAATGATGACGTGGTGTTGGATGCGTTTGAGAAATTTGGGGAGGATTTGAGGGAGATTGAAGGAAGGATTTTGGAGCTGAATTTGGATGAGAAATTGAAGAATAGGAATGGGCCCGCTAAAATGCCTTATACTTTGCTTTATCCGAGTAGCGAAATCGGGCTTACGGGTCGTGGGATTCCAAATAGTGTCTCGATTTGAAGTGGGATTTGGTCATAGGTATTGTGAGTTACCTTTGAAGTATGGTGTGTTGAAGGTTTTTTTAGGTTTGAAATCGTGTTTTTGCTGTGTAACATGGTAGTTTGTGACAATAAACTATAGTTGGTAAGTTTGGGTTTGACATTTTGTAAATAATTTTATAAATTATCAATAATGATGCATTTGGGAAATCAGTAGTTGGTCAATTTCAATTTCTTTGTTTTTCATAACAAGTAGGCCACCACAAAATGAGTCCTATCAACTTAAGTCACTTGATAACCACATGGTAAGACACTTGATATAAGTCGTTCAAAGAGTCAAAGCATCTATCTATCTATATTCATTTGATGCAATCACTAAGGTTCATGATCAAATACAAATTCACATCCAACAACATCATGCACGAGAACTCCCTTCACCAAGATTCAAACCCGCACAGCGTGATAGCACATCCTGCATTTTAAAATGAAATTAAAACCAGATAAGCTTTCTAGAGTTATTTTCAATAATCAGTATAAGGGCAATCACGTCTTTTTGCACAAACAAGAGACTCAAGAGTAAGTCCCATGTCCCGCCTTTTTGGGTGGTACAAGAATTTTGCCACTTTTGTACCAGTCACTGTCTGCTTGTGATTTTCATTTTTTTTTTTTTTTGTTTTTCGGGGGTTGAACATGCCTGATATGAGACTGAGGCATCACCAGACTCAGCCTTCTGTTTCTCATGAAGTTGGTTTGCAGTTTGACCTAATAACAGCCCGTGGACCAACTGCAAGAATATTAAGATGCATTCTAAACATTTTCAGAGATTAAAAAAAGAAAAAAAAAAAGTGTAGTGTGTGAGGTAAGACAATGTTTTTGAGATTTATTTACTTTTACTTTCAGTTACTGTATAATGATATTCTAATAAACTAGATTTCTATCAATTCTGTATTCTTAATAACTTTGACATATGTAACTTATTTAAATTACTGTTGACTTTATTTGAATAAACAATAACATATATATATATATATATATATATATATATATATATATATATATTTGAAGTACAAAACTAGCTTATATATATTTTAATACATCAGAGATGACTAAAGGAAACGCAAATTTCGGGACAACTTGGGGAAAATTTCATAAATTGGATCAAAATTGTGATTTTGAGTAAAATGAAGGAGCAAATATGTAATTTACTCTATTTAAAACTAATAAATATAAGGGTTTTATTGAAACTCTATAATCAAACATAAAAAAGAATGATACTAAAAAAGATTCTGTTTTAGTGTAAACAATATTGTAATACATTAGAGATGATAGTGACATCATTTTTAGACCAAAATAGTAAAAAAGAAGATAGTGACAGCATTACCCTTAGCAACTTTTCCACTGAGGTTTGATGTAAGAATTGGCTAGCTCTTTCTTTTTCCTGGCTCAAACGATATTCAGCCTAAAACACAACAAAGCATAGGTAAAATATAAGCATAAATTACAAATTTGGTCCCTATGCTATATCATTTTTATAGTACATTGCCCAAAAAAGAAATCTTTATGGAAAAAAGATTTTATTTTGGACCACACCTAAAGAACCTGATCTAGCAGAGGGACCAAAAGTGTAATTTACTCAAAATATGACCTTCAAAACATAATCAGCAGATGAGTAATGCTGAAGCCACTGTGGAACCAAGAAGTTGTAGTAATTTTCAGTACTTGATAGTACTGCTCCCTCAAAGTTCTCATAATAGCGCATATCCCCCCTCCCAATTTCCACAAAAAAAGTTGAAACATGTTTTAGCAAATCCCTGCAAACCGATTTACCATCACGATCCTCATTGATCTGTAAAAAAAAAAAAAAAGTAAAAGTCAGATGTAAGATATTCCTCTAAGCAAACAAGGGTAAAATTGTAATTCATCATGGTTCTTCAAACATACTAGACAAATTGCAGCTTCTAATAACTTGGGATACAATTCAATGCACACCTGATATGCATAACAAAAACTTAGAATTCAACAAATTAGGCAATAGTAAAAAGTTTAATGGTGATGTTGATGTTTAGTTTACCAGATCATGGAAGCAAGAAATTGAGAGATTACTAAGAGAAGCTGCTTTTCGATCTTCAACAAAGTATCGATCAAGGTACAAGAAGAAACCTCCAAGACATTTTGCCATGATTTTGTATTTTGACCACATGTTCCAAAGCTCGTATAACAGAAAGATATGTGATTTATCTTTCACAGCTGGGATGACCTGAGTTCATTTCAACACTTTATATATATGATAGTAATATAGACTCTAAACTTCATGATAATGCATAAAAGTAAGATGAACAAGCTATAGAAGTTGCAGAGAATTTGAAGTCTCACCCTTGAAGTAATGCCATCTTCCAAAGCTTTCTTGAATATGTCATAGAGCTTTGCACAGTATTCATAAGGAGGATGTTGAACACACATATCATACACACAGCTGACAAGAGTAAAGGATATATAATCAGAATATATGTATGTAAAAGTATATATCAAGGAAGCAAAGATTGTTTTATATCAGAAGGATACTCGTAGAGTTTCATGTATTCTTCACAAGTGAATAATGCACTGGTGGGGTACCCATCCAGTATCATAAAGGCCTTTGCAATTCCTTCATTCAATATACTTAAGCCTTCTTCCGGTGTCAATTTTTTCTTCATCTTGTATCCAACAGTTCTTCAACAAATTCTGAAACCAGAAAGCCTCATTTACAAACAGATGAAAAGAAAATATAAACAAACCACTAACTAACACTATAATCCGGGCTCTTTCAGATAATGCTCGAACATACCACCCTACACGAAATCAAATCCATAAAAAACCAGATACAATTCGAAATCCGAACCAATAGAGCTTGTGTGGTAGCTCTAGGAGATCAAAATCCCCTTGATAAGCATGAACAATGCCAGCCACTCAGTCAGCAGGCAATACCCGTACCAGTTCGTTTGTGCGTACTCCGCAAGTTGAACAATCTAGGGTTTTGGGAAATTCTTCATCAACATTTCGAAATTGGGTAAAATTTACAGAGCATACATACGCACATAACTATAGATTATGAATATCAATGAAAATTTAGCAAATCACTGATGCCAAAAAAAAAAAAAAAAAAAAAAAAAAAAAAAAAAAAAAAAAAACTAGGGTTTAGAAGTTTACTCGGAGCAACGAGACTTGTGTGTGTTATTCAGAAGTTGGAAATTGCCTGAGAATGCGCCTCGACGGTGACACTGACACCAGTGCGTGTCGGAGTGAAATGAGGTTGTCGACCACTACCCATACATACATACACACACATACAATTTTTCCATTTTCAAAGATCGAAACGCAGCGTTTTAGTATAATGGTAGATGTCATCTGATCTCCCTCCAAAACATGGTCTCTTCCTAACCAATCACATGATCAACCCTAATTAATTTATTTGTAAAAAAAGACTTAAATATTTTTTTTTATCAAAAGTTTACAATAATATAAGAGATTATTTTAATAAATAAGTTATTTCTAACTTTTACAACATATCTATGAATGTATGGATCCATGAATTGATTAGATATTGGTAACAAACTTATACATAAATTATTATATTTTAGTGAATTAAGATTTAGGTCTAATGTTGTAAGTCAGAATCATATCTTAACTGAGGGTGAGCAAATGACTGTTAAGTTATGAAGTTATGAAGACTGATTCATCATTTGACCATATAGCCGAAGGGCGAGCAACAGACTTTTTCAACCATAGAAACATAGTACATGGTGATTGTATATGCAAACAAGGAGCTTATATGGTTGAATAACTTCCTATAAGAACTTGGGATGCCGTATGAAGATTGTGTATTGCATTGTGACAACTAGAGCGCAATCCACTTGGCAAAGAATCCAGTGTTTCACAATAGGACGAAACGCATTCAGTCGAGGATACCATTTTATCAGGGAAATGATTTAGTGATGGAACTCTTAACCTTAAGAAAATACTTTGTATGAAGAATTCAACAAATATGTTTACTAAGTTGGTGACTATAGATAATTTGAACTTGTACATAGTTCAACTGGCCTTCTAGGTACTTGAAGAGAAGGTCCAGACTAGAGAAAGAATGGAGGTTACAAAGTTCTAGAAGGGATGTCAGCAAATGTGTTCATCACCCTCCATGTAGAAGATTCTTAAGTTGTAAAGACTAATTCACTATTTACTTTATAGTCGTCAGGTAAACCAAACATGAGGTCTTGTAGGAAGATTTTTTTTTTCATGGGCTAGTTCCTATATCAGATTCGCTATAAAATCGTCATTGCCTCATTCGTGAGTTTTTCGTCACAGATTATGGGCTTGGCCTTATTTGCATTTTTAGGTCTAATTATTAGTATTTATAAAATATCCCTCCCTTTCTTTTCTCTCTCTCTCTCTCTCTCTCTCTCTCTCTTTCTCTCTTTCTCTCTCTAAAGGTTTGTATCGATCGGATACACTCAAGTATGAATAATGAAGAACAAACAAAGAACAAAAAACAAGATGATCACAAAGATACTTTCACTAAGAAAGAGGGCTCTCATAAAGAGAACGGGTCACAAAGACGACACCTAGCTCTATTAGGGTTTAACTGTAATGTCCCAAAAATTTCGATTTCTATATTAATAAAACCATTATCCAAAACAATATCATAAAACCATAGTGAAATCAGAGTATGTCAATAAACATCCAAATACATTCGAGTCATATTAAATACGGAACAATGTGGTGTGTGCAATGCAGTCATCCCGAGCTCTTCCCCTTCGAACCAGAAGTACCTGAAACATAAACAGAAACCATAAGCACAAAACTTTGTGAGTTCCCCAAAATACCACATACCATACATATCAACCATATAACGGGCCCCGCCCGACGTCGAGCCCCACTCTGAACAGATCTGCCAGTCATCAAGCCCCGCCTGGCATCACACCCCGCCCGGTATACATACAAACACATAAACACATGCAAGAATCACAAAGATAAATAGCATACAATATAATCATCACGCCTCGCCCCGCATCGGGCTCTACCCGGTATACATATTAGATAACTAGCATACTAATCATAATAAACTATAGGGCGACATTGGTGCCTTCGACCCACCAAACATAGGGAAGAAACTCACCTCAAGCTGCTGAATCTCTCAAAAATAAAATCTCGGACTGCTGATCCGGAAAAATCATCGCGCTAAATCCATAAAATTATACCCAAATAATAATTAGTCCATAATCCAAAATTGGAATCCTAGTCCGAAGTCCAACCCTCGGGGGTAAAAGTCCATTTTACCCTTTCCTCACTTGTCCCAAAATCTGAAGCCCAATCCAATAGTATCAAAAGCTCAACATGACCCAACTTCTTAATTAGGCCCAAAACCCATCATGGGCCTAATTCCAAGAAGGCCCAAAGCCTTATAATGCAAAATACTATTGGCCCAACCAGGCCCAAACCCTAAAAGTCCAAAATATAGCCCAATACGCGAAAGTCAACAAAAGTCAAACTGCTGAGTATGCTTGGCGTACTCAGACTTACGCTCAACACACTCATTCCAGGGCCAGTACGCGCAGCGTACGAGCTGGGTATGCCCCGCGTACTCCGCAGACGACCAACCCAACCCATTAAGCACTTACTCGGTTAATCCATTAAGCCAAACGCTCATATCTGATCTCAAATGGTGACTTAACACGTAAAGTTGGCAACTTTACTCCCATACATAACTTAATGGGACCCAAAACTCAAAAAGAACCATATTAAGGATCCTAACACATGCACGGACCAATATAATTCATAAAGATGGCATTTTTATGGACAATGGACCTCAAAGGTGCTAAGATCTAACATCCATGGCTTCTGGAGTAGACCATAATCTCAAATATGGCTTAAAGGACCCACAAATGCACAAATAACACCCTAAATTGGATCTAGCATAAGGAACCATCAAGTTGAGAGCTTTATACCTCAAATAGCTTGCAAAGATGAAGATGATTTTGGATCTACAAGCTCACGCCACTCCCAAGCAACCTCCAAGTGTTCTTCTTCCTTCACTTCACCGAAAACACCACCAAAACTCACTTCCAAGCTCAAATCTCACAAATGGCAATTTGGGTTTCGATCTTAGGGTATAGAGAGATGGAGGTTGTTCATAAGGAGATCCAAGGGTGTCATAAGTTGTTTAGATAGAGCAAAACCCTTAAAATTATGGTTTTCCCTTGCATTGCATACGCCCAGCGTACTCCTACGTACGCCCGACGTATGTGGGTGCATCCGCGATCCAACCAACGAGTCAGTATGCTCAGCGTACTCATAGAGTACACCCCGCGCAGTGAGCTAGGGACTAAAATGAGAGAAATTTTACATTAAGGGTTAAAAAAGAGACATACCACCAGACTCGAATGTTACAATTCTCCCCTACTTGAATCAGACTTCATCCTCGAAGTCCACTGCCCCAAATAGCTCTGGGTAGTGCTCCGTCGTCTCGTCTTCCGGCTCCCACGTCCATTCTGAACCCTTGTGGTGCTGCCACTGAACTTTCACCAACTCAACAACCTTGTTCCTCAAGGTTTACGTCTTCCTGTCAAGAATCGCCACCGGTCTCTCGATATAGCTCAGGCGATCATCCACCTAAATATCCTCCAATAGAACCACCACGGAATCATCCACCAAACATTTCCGCAACTAAGAGACGTGAAACGTGCTATGGATCTGACTAAACTCCTCCGGAAGATCCAAGCGATAAGCAACCCGGCCCACCCCCATCCAAAACCCTAAAAAGGACCGATATACATGGGGCCCAGCTTGCCCTTCTTCCTGAATCAGATGACACATTTCCAAGGTGATACCTTCAGGAGAACCATATCCCCAACCTGGAGCTCTAGATTTGATCGGCGCTTGTCGACATAGCTCTTCTACCGACTCTGTGTTGTCTGAAGTCTACGCTGGTGCTGAATCAACTCAGTAGTCTTGAGTACCACTTTAGTACTCTCCATAACTCGCTGGCCGACCTCACCCCAACATATCAGGGTCCTGCACTTCCTCCCATAGAGCATCTCAAAAGGAGGCCAATCAATGTTGGCATGATAACTGTTTTTATATGAAAACTCCGCCAGAGGGAGATACGTATCCCAACTCCCAGCGAAATCCAATACACACGCCCTAAGCATATCCTCCAAGGTCTGGATAGTTCGCTCACTCTATCCGTCAGTCTGTGGGTGGAAGGCTATGCTGAAGTGCAGACGAGTACCCAACTTATCGTGAAATCTTTTCCAAAACTTGGAAGTAAACCGGAAATCCCTATCTGAAACCACTGAAATCGGCACCCCATGTCGTGCCACAACCTCCTTGATGTAAATGTCGGCCAACTTCTCCACGGAGATACTCTCCTGAATCGGAACAAAATGTGCGCTCTTGGTCAATCGATCCACGATGACCCAAATCGAATCCAATCTGCACACTGTCTGAGGCAACTTCGTAATGAAGCCCATGGTAATCTCTTCCCATTTGCAAACAGGAATGTCAAACGGTTGCATCTTGTCGTGAGGTCGCTGATGCTCGGCCTTGACTTTCCTGTAAGTCAAGCACCTCTCCACATACCAAGCTACATCCCGTTTCATAGAGGGCCACCAATAATCAGGACGTAGATCTTTATACATCTTCTTAGCCCCAGGATGAATGGAGAATATCGATTTGTGCGCCTCCTCCATCAAAACATGTCGTGCACCACCCCAGTAAGGATCCCACACTCTCCGATGGAGAGTCAATAATCCTCGACTATCATAATCGAAGGAAGCCACCTGACCCACTATACACTCACTCTTCCGGTGATCTTCCTTCATAGCCTCAACTTGAGCCTCTTGAATCCACTCCAAGAGTGGAGTAATCACTGTCATCCTCAAATAAATATATCTGATCAGAGCCGCGACCACCTTACGGTTGAGAGCATCGGCCACCACATTGGCCTTCCCCGGATGGTAAAGGATCTCACAATCATAATCCTTCACCACATCCAACTACCGGTGCCGCCTCATGTTCAGATTCGGTTGATCCATCAAATACCTCAGGATCTTGTTATCCGTGTAAATAGTATAGTGGACCCCATAGAGGTAATGTCACCAAATCTTGATGGCGAAAACCACAGCCCCCAGCTCTATATCATGCGTCGGATAATTCGCCTCATGAGGCTTTAGCTGCCTCAAAGTGTAAGCAATAACGCGACCCCTCTGCATCATAACTGCACCCAAACCCATGATCGACACATCACAATAAACTGCAAAATCCTCAACACCCTCCGACAGGGTCAAAATCGGCGCCTCACACAATATCTGTCTCAGGGTCTCAAAAGCTGCCTGCTGCTCAGGCCCCCA